GTCAAGGTTGAGAAACACTGCTCTATATCCTTGCCTAGATTCTCAAACAGTATGTGGCTTTTTTAGCCGGTTAACAATTATTAATATTATTATTTTTAAAAAATCCCAATTATTTAACCTCTGACCTATGGAGAAAACCCCTTTATGGATGGCCTGGGAAGAGAGGAAGGAAGCTTCTGGTCCCCTTGCCGGCTGATCTCCGGACCGGGGATGTCTTTTCCGTGGGCTTGGCCCCTCTGCTTCCCCAGCGGGGTTGCTGACTCACAACGCGAGGCGGAAAACAAGAGCGTTTATTTGGGAGCCTGGCCGTGTCTCCCCGACTCTTCTTCGGAGGCTGCAGATCTGCCCAAGCCACAAAGCCACGCGTTGTAGCCGTGGCTCGGAGAAGCCCAGCGCGGCATTTGCTTCTTCCTCTTGACTTAAGGCGGTCCAGGGTGCAGATCCAGCCGTTATATAACCTGGGAATAAGTGAACCGCCGCCCACTTTAAAGAGAGTTGGGTTTGGAGGGGAGGGGTCTCCTCTTCCAGGCTGTGTTTGGGTGGGTAGCAGGAAGGGGACCCTCACCGCCCAGCGTGGCCATTGTCCCTGCTTGCATGGCTTGCGTGGAGGGATAGCGGTGGCCTCAACTCTGAGGCTCCTTCCCCACTTTGGACCCAAGACCCCCGACCTCCTAGGACAGGGGTCCTCAAACCTGGCCCCTTTAAGACTGGTGGACTTCAACTCCCAGAATTCCCCAGCCAGCCATGGCTGGCTGGGGAATTCTGGGAGTTGAAGTCCACCAGTCTCAAAGGGGCCAAGTTTGAGGACCCCTGCCCTAGCAGATCGCATCTACTAGGCTATCCTGTTTCTGGGACCCTCTGCTCCCCCCTGAATGGCACCCATTCTCTACCTTTGGAAGAGTGGCTAGACCCCCCCTCTCTTCCCACAGAAGTGACACCCCCACCCCATTTAGTTTTTTGTCTTTGGTCCTGGAGGCTTTTTGTCAAAAGGGACCCAGGAGTAATTTCATAACAATCCAGCCTCGGCAAGGATGGAGGGAAGGAGGGAAGCAGAAGGGGAGGTGTTGGAAGACATGCACTCTCCCCCCCACACACACTCCCAATCTGAAGGACCTTAGCAGTCCTTCCGAGCGCGGGCAAGTTGTCGGTCCGCGCACTCCGTGGTGTGCGTCTCGAAATAACAGTGGCGTGGAAATCCCTTCCCGGCTCCGGGTAGCAGCCCGACTCAATTCAGTAGGTCTCTTGCGCGCTCCTTTTAGCCTCGGCCTGAGTTTGGCTCTTCTCTGCTCCCCCCCCAACCCCACTTTTTGGGGGGCTTGCTGTTGCTAACTCTCTGTTGCCCCTCCTGCTGCTGGCCCCCTCGGGGCCGAAGACCCCAGGTCCAAGGAAGAGGGGGAGAAGAGACCCCGGGCTGCCTCTTGCCGGGCCCCTGCTTGGCTAAAAAAGCAGGGCCGAAGGTCCGGGCCCCATTCCCTTCCCTGTGCATAGATGGCCTGCTTCCCCCCCCCTCCCACGCGTGCCTGGCTGAGGGATTCTGGGAGTTGAAGTCCACAAGTCATCCCAGGGCCACGTTGGAAGACCCCCTGCCCTTCTCTGCCTCCAGCAGCCAAGCTGGGAAAAACCCACAAAAGCCTTGCAACGGGTTTAAAGAGGGCAACGTGGCTGTTCTGGCTTGGGGCGTCAAGCACGGCCTCCCTCGTCTCTCCCCGTACCCCCTCAAAATGCCGGGGCTTGGAATGGGCCACGGAGTAGCCGGTGAAACTCCGGAAAGGCCGTGGAACCTCTCCCCTTGCCTGACTGAACGCCCCCACCCCTTCCCGGGGTCGGTCAAATCTCCGGAGGCGATAGAGCGATGGAGGAGAGTCAAGTTTTATTCCCCCCCCCCCTCTTCTTTGCTTCCTGTTAAGTGCAATTCCCCTTGTAAATAACTCCCTTGGATTTTGTGCATGGTTATTCTGTGTTGTGGATATATATAAAGATTGCCAAACCAAACCGCTTCTGTGCGTGCCTTTTTTTTTGTTTTTGTTTTTTGCATTTTTGGTTTAAATTCTGATTAATAGGTCCTTGTGACTGGGTGTGCTTGGGGCAAACTTTCAGCTGGGGTTGGGGGGGGGGGAAGTAAACCAGATGAGATTCCTGGAAAAAAAAAATCTTATCCAAGCTTTTTCTTTTGGTTTCCGATCAGCACGTGGGAAAGTTGCGCCCTGGAAACCTAAACTGGGCTTAACGCCGGC